GGGCGAGAGGGCCTCCGAAGGGCACCTGGATAACTAAAAGATTGCACCGAGAGGGCCCACGAGCTCACCAGAACGCCCCCCCCCTCCTCCTCCCCAGAGAGGCACAACATATAGACATGAGCCTTGTTATTTCAAGCCAGCGGTGTAATCTAGCCCCCCTTGCGCCCCCTTGGGGGCCCCTTGGTGCTCGCCCATCTGTGGCATATTAAATGAAAAGGCACAGAGGGTGTCCAATGGGGGCCCCGAGAGGGCCCTGCGAGGTGTCGCGCTCAACGCCCTTGAAAGCGACGCCTCCAAAGGTTCGGCGCCGTCGTCGTCGTCGTCGTCGTCCCCGCCGTCGCCACCAACATCGTCGTCGGCATCGCCCCCGCCATCGACGTCGTCGCCATCGGCATTCTGCCAACTCGCCACTTGCGTCGTCAGTAGCTTCGCCGCCGTCTTCCCCCGAATCACCACCGCATCCTCGTCGGCACAGCCATGGCCCCTATCGCCAACATAATCGCGATTGCGATCGCCACCGTCCTCGTCGGCATCGCCGTCGGCATCGCCAGCGTCATCTTCATCAGCACAACAACCACCACAGTCATTGCCATCATCTGCATCATCATAATCATCGCCATCGGCGTGGTCGTCGACGTCCTACAGCCTCGTCGTCTGCGTCGTCATCGTCATAGTCACCCTCCTCCTCCTCCTCCTCATGACTTCACTCTCGTCATCGTCGTCACAAGCCTCGTCATCGTCGTCGTCGTCATCGGCGCCGTGCTCGTCGTCGCCGTTCTTTCCGTCGCCATCATCGTTCTCGTCGTTATAGTCGCAATCGTCAGCGTCGCCGCCGCCGTCGCAGTCATGGCCATCCGCCTCCTCCTCCTCCGCATCATCATCATCATTAACGCAGTTGCCACCGTCGTCACCATCAACGCCACCACCACAATCACTATCACATGGACCATCCATGCGCATCATCATAGCCACCGTCGTCGTTGTCATCGTCGTCCGACCAGCTCGCCACCTTCGCCGCCGTCGTCTTCCTCCTACTCCTGCCCATCCTCCTCGCCCCCTCCCCTCCCGTGCCCCTCCAACCTCCGCCTCCCGAGCGGCCCGCCCAGGGCGCGCGGGGGCAGCCTCTTATGTTAACTAGGCGCTGAAAGGGCACCTGCAATGAAGCCCCAGACGCCCCGCGTCGTCTCCAGGACATCCGACGCCCGAGCTAGGCAGAGCCCAGCGAACCTCCACTGCGCCCCCGCAAGGCCACCAAAAGGCGCCCAAGAGAGGCCCAGTAGAGGGACAATGCGAGCTTAGTTGCCCCGACGTCGTTGTCGTCATCGTCGGCGTCGTCACCGTCGTCATTGGCGCCCCGATCATCGTCATCATCTTTGCCTCCATCGTCGCCAACACCGCCATCATCATTGTCGCTGTTGCCATTGTCATCATCACCAGCATCAGCACCGCCATCGTCGTCGTCATCGTCTTCCTGTCGAATTGTCACGGCCGTCATGCTGCGGTCACGTGGGCGGGACTGCAGGCGCCGCGCCCCGTGGGAAACCCGAAGGGAACATGTGATACAACACTAAAGTTTGCCAAGCATTTCCCCCGTGTCATCGTCGACGTCATCGTGATTGTCGTCGTCGCCGTTGTCGTTATCATCGTCGTCGCAATTGTCAACGTCGCCACCGCCATCATCACCATCATCATCCGTGTCATCACCATTCTCATCATAACCATCGGCGTCGTCATCGTCTTCATGCCAATTCGTCATTTGCCTCGTCATCGTCATCACTTCCCTCTTCCCCATCACCGCGTCATCTTAGTCCTCGTCGTCATCGTCCTAGCTCCTAGCCGCCGCCATCGCCGTTAGCATCGTCGTCGTCATCGTCAGTATCGCCGTCTCCATCGCCAAGCTCAAAGTCATGCTCGTCATCATCATCTGCATCATCGCCGTCGTCGCAGCCTTCCGTGCCATCATCGTCGTAATCGTCACCAACACCATCATCATTACCATCGGCATCGCCACCACCGTCGTCGTCAGCACCGTCGTCGGCATCGTCATCGTCATCCTCGTTAGCATCAGCATCATCATTATCATCACCACCATGACCATCATCATCGTCGTCGCCGTCACCACCACCTTCACCCTCGCCATCGCCACCACCATCACCATCACCGCCGTCGCCATCGTCGGCATCGTCGCCACGGCCAGCATCATCGTCATCGCCGTCGCCATCGTCGCCATCGTCATCTCGAACTGGGGTATTGACGAAGGTAGACGATCGACGTTTCGCTTTTTGCGGTACGACAGAGGCCATATGGAAATTCTGTACAACAAGTTTGTTTTGTGCAGAATTTCCCTTTTGAGAGTTTTCCACGGGGAGGTGCGCCTGCAACTCCATTCAGGTTAATGGCAGCATGGCGTATTTGCGCGAAGCGTGTTGGTAGGATCAGACTCAAACGTGCGGCAGTTCGGCGAATATCGGTTGAATTGCGTGTGATTAGGGACTAGGAGTAACTGGGTGTAACTTGTAGCTATGTGTAACTGGGTGTAACTGGGCGGAGCAATGTGCAACTGGGTGGACATGGGTGCAACTATGCGTTACTACTGTGTGCAACTGAGTGTAACTGTGTGTAGTTGGGTGAAGCTGGTTGTAATTGGGTGTAACTAGGTATGTCTAGTATCTGGTCATCTAGTTGGAATCGCTCTCCTGGCCTTTGCTGTGGCGCTCGTTGCCCGCGCGCTGGTGGGCCCCGCGAATCCCGAGGCAGCAGGGCACTCGAGAGTAGCGTCGGAGTCGCACCGCACGTAGACGAATACTATTGGAGACTAGGGCCCCGAGTGACCCCCGAGACTGGGCCCCGAGTGACCCCCGCACATGGTCTGGTCATAATCGCTCCAAGTGGCTGCCATGACGGGTACTTGTTCGTCTTACTTCTGCATTCGCTGCTGCACTGTATCAAGGGAAGGATGTTTTTTTTCTCTCTCTCGACGCCTTCACGGCAGCCCATGGCCGCGGGGCGCAAGTCACAGGCGCCGGCCCGAGGGCCCTCGACCGCCGGCCGCGGCGCTGCGAGAGGCGGCCGCGGCAGGTCGCGGCAGGGCCGCGGGAGAGGCAGCGGCGCGGTCAGCACTTGCGATGTGTGCCAGCGCACCGACAGGGACTGAGGGCCAACAAGCACTACACACTTCTCATCCGTGTCCCTGTGTCCTGGCACCCTGGACCGCTGGCCCCCCCTTGGCCGCGTCTGTCGTGGTCCGAACAATGTTGCGGTGAGGCGTTCGGGGTTTCAAAGGCCGAATGCCCTTTGCAATCCTAGGCGCACCGCTTTTGGGCATGAGTTTGAAACGGCCCCGCTTTGAGGCTCCAAGCGGGGTGAACGGTAGAGGCGTTCGGGTTCAGAGGGTTGTCGTGTTGTTGCTTTTCACTTAGGGCACAGGGATTGTCCAGAACGGCGATGAGCTGGCCGCGCACCTGGGGGAGGGGGAGGTGGCTTGCGTTGAGTGCCTGACGTGGCTCCTGGAGAACGCACCTGCGCTGTCCTGGTCAGGGTTGGTCGCAGCTCAAGAGGCAGGGCAATTGCGGGATTTGTGTCAGCAGGGTGAGACGCCAGCTCAGAAGCAACCAACGAGGACGCCTCCCAGGACGCTCAACCTAGGCGACTCCGTCGACTGCGGCTTCGAGCTCTACGTGAAGTGCGCTGCGCTGACGGCCAAAGACGTGGAGCGGGAGTTCGGGAGAACGGCAAAAGCACTACACACCGAACCAGTTGAGATTCCATCTCGGCCGACCTCGTTTACCGTCTACTTGGTGAAGGCCTGCCCCGAGTCGAGAGGCAAGTATCCAACATTCAAGCTGTGCCACCGCAGTAGCACCGTGGCCAGCGTCGGCATCCTCAAGCGAGATGCCCGAGAGCTGTTCGAGATCCAGTCTACCGTGTTGTTTGGTGCTACTATTGCGGGCCAGTGTGGCGAGATCAACCTCGACCTCACGCCTGGCGCGCGCTCGTCCATCGCGACGTGGGCCGAGGTGCGGGACCGCGCTGACAGGATAGCGGAGAAGAGCGCCAAGAGGACCCGCGCTGGATCGAAGATCGGCGAGCAGGACGACGACGACGGAGGGGGCGATGACATCGAGGTTATTGAGTTTGGGGATGCGGCCTCGAGCAGCGTGCATCCTTTCGACCCAGATGCCGCGGCTGAGTGCACTGGGGCCGCTTCCTCCAGAGCCGACTCCATCGATCATCAGCCTGGCAGCGCAGTGAAGAGGCAGCCGTCAATGTCGCCGCGTGACATGGGTGGTAAGCCTTTGAAATCTTCAAGGACGGCCGCGGCGCCCACCGACAGTTACGAGCCCGAGAGGCAGCACCCGCACACGCTCGGCACAGTGGACTACTGGGTCTGGGAGCTGGCGTTCGAGAGGGCCTTCAACGGCCATAAGAATGGGAGAGCCGAGAACCAAGCTAGACAACTCGTCCAGAAGCTCACGGGCACGGAGCGCCGCACGCTGCAGACCCACCTGAAGCTCTACAACCAGGCGAAGCTGTTCGACGAGAAGGCTGTGGCGAAGGTGCCAGACGGGGAGCTGATGGCCTCATGGGAAGTCCTACGAAAAGCGGGCGCCACGCTCACGCAACGGGCTGTGAGGGCATTGGCCAGGAGGACTGCCATGAATGCTTGGCAGGACATCAACAAGGCCGACCTGGACACGGACAAGATGAAGCAGTTGCTGGTCGGTTTCATGGAGCGGTGTCGGCCGTGGGCCTTCACCGCCAAACCTCGGGATGTTGCGAACCCGCGTGCAGTGTGCTTGGTCGATGGGTGCACGTCCGACGCCGACGTCGCGAATACCTTCCTGGAGATCGCCGTCGCAGATGCCCTCGCAGAGTGGCTCACGGCAGGCCCCAGCGCGGCTGACAACGTCAAGCTCTACTGCGAGGCAGCGGACCTCGTCCTCGCATCATTGCCCGAAGACGCGGAGCTCGGCGACCACTCTGCTTCAGTTTAACTCGAGATGACTTCGGCGATCCGGGTGCTGACAGCGACGCAGGCGACGTCCTTGACAGCGGACGCTGACATGCAGGTGTGCGTGGACGCATGGCGCTTGGAAGCTGAGGGCCGACGCGCCACTGGACAGCAGAGCGCGCATCAGCTCGTGGGCCAGGCGCTCCTGACGAGCGCCAACGACTTCTGGGCTAAGAAGTTGAAATGGATGACGGAGCACGCAGGTGCAGTCACGAAGAACGGCGGCCAGGTGAAGTCGGCCATCGCCGAGCTGGAGCGGAGGGGCGCTAACCCGTCGGAGCAGCGTGCCAAGCTGCTCAAGCGCATCGTGGACGACGTACCGTACTGGGAGGCCGCAAGGTACACGGGTTGCGCGGACGAGTGCAAGGCCATGGTCCTCAACAGGTCCACTTTGCAGCGCAGGGCGCTCACTTCTGATGGCGAGGTTCGGGGGGGGGGGGGGTGCAATGCGCCCGCTTGCACTCCTATGTCCAACCCCCGTCGGTGTGTCTAAGGGGTGACAGTAGCTAGGACTAGCGACTACTGGCTAGCAGCTAGTAGTGCACACCGATAGGGTTGGACGTGGGAGCGCAGGTGGGCCCATTGCCCCACCCCATAGGGCAACGGCGGCATCGGCACGGAGGGCGGCGCCCAGACGACGGCGGTGACGACCGCTTACAAGGAGTTGTTCAAGGACTTGTCCAACGTGTTCGCGGCGGGCGAGCAACTGGAGCGCTGCTCTCGTGCGCTCCAGTCCAAGATAGCGGCCGTGGACCTCAGCGTGAAGCACGAGATGTTAGCAGATGCGTTGGCCACGTGGAATGATGGTGATAAGGAGTTGACTCACCGTCTGAAGGATGCGTTACACAGCTGTCGCATGAAGGCCCTGCCCGAGAAGCTGCAGGTCGTGCAACTCGTTGTTCACCTCCTTCATTGTCGACCTCTTCAAGGACGGGGCCGATTGGACTACGAAAGGAGGCTTCCTGTTTGAAGTCTTGGAGCTCTTAGCGCCGAACGTGCCGCGTTCATCGGTGGATGCTTCAACGGGCGTGGCAGCGTGGTTGGGCGCTGCCTGGCGCGTGGCGCGCGCCCAGACAACGCTCGCGCAGGCGGAGCACCACGTGGGGGAGGGTTTGCAGGATGCTACGCCTGCCGGCGTCGGGCGCCACGCCAGGGAGTTGACTCGGGCCGTCCAGAAAGTGAACCACAACGCCCGCAGCATTGCCCTTGAGAAATTTCACGCCGGCGCTTCGCTGCAGGTGGCTGACGCCGTGAACTGTGCGAGCGACCTTGTCCAAAGGGTCGGGGCGAAGATCGCCGGCGCCTTGTGCGAGAAAACAAGGCTGGACTTCACGAACCTGAAGAAGAGCGCTGAGGAGGCGGCTGGCGTCGCTGAGTTCAAAAAGGAGTGCGACAAATGTACGACTCTCAATGCCGCGCTTGACCTCTACGGCATCGGTCTGCACGAGGCGCCCGTCAACGAGTGGCTCGACCAGACGTGCACCATCGAGGGGGGCTTGACGACCGTGGCGGGCAAGGCGACAGAGTACTCGCTGCCAAGCTACTCCACCGAGGCGACCGCAGGCATCACCGAGGAAATCGTGGTCATCCGCGCGCTCTGCATGAGCGCAGGGCTCCTGAAGGCGTTCGGCACGGAGCCGCTCCAAGCTAACAAGATAGCCATGCGCAACAGCTGCATGAATACCCAGTTCAAGCTCAGGAAGTTCGGCATCCCGCCTGAGTCACTGCCGCGCGTCGTGGTGTCGCGGCGCAGGGATGCGCTCAAGATGCGGGGATCGAGTGCTGAATCAGTTTGCCTTCGGCCCTGCTGAACTTTAGTGAGTACCAGGGCCTGCGACGACAGGCCCGCGCCCCCGCAGCGTGTCGACCAGCGCTGCGTCACGAGCCCGCCCACGATGGGGCACGGTCGCGCACGGCCGCGGCGCGGGGCCGCGTGCCGAAGGGCGAGACAGGATCTGTGGATGTAACACTGCCTGCGCCAGTGTTGGGAAATCGTATCCGTGATTTGCGCGTGCCCCCCTGCCTCGAGGAAGGGGGGCGTTGCCCCTGAGGTCTGCCTGATCAGGTGCGTTGCGCGAGGATGTCTATTCATATGTATGTTCATGATGGTTACACAGCATGCCCTTGCTTCCAATTGTGTGTCCTTCGTATTCGTGGGCTGTCGCCCTTCTCCGCCTGCCCCACACCCAAGGGTCTTGGAGCAATGGGTCGGCATTCGGCGTCGGATTGGCTACTGGCAGGTGGTTTCTGTTGATCTGTGTGGGGCGCGGCCGATTCAGGACTCGGATCTTGGAGCCCACTGCGTTTCGTTAAGGGCCTCGGTCTTGGGGCCCCGCGCTGGATTTGCACTTCGGCGCGGGGCACTGGGCGACGGGCCTCGGCGTGAAAAGCCGCGGCCAGTATTTCAATGGGGGTTGCCCTGCGGCCTCTGGTAGCGTGATTTGGGCATCGGGGATTGGTGTACAGGTTTTCTCTGGGGCTACAGCCCGCGGGCGCTACGGTGTCAGGGCTTCGGCTCTGTGGGGCCAGTGTTTTTGCTGTCTCCTCGGGCCTCTGGGCCCTGGGCCCCTTTTGAAAGACTAGATCGGTTCAGTATGTTTCTTGTTTTCCGAAATCCTCCAGCGCAAGATCCCACCGTGCACGATTGCACCCGTTTGGGGAGTTGTTTCGGTAGCACCTGGAACAATAACACAAACACATTCGAAGTGGCCTTATCCTTTTCTTACGATCACTGCTGCATTCTGCCCCGAAAAGGTTCATCGCCCGCGCAATGCGTGGGGCGATTGAGAAAAACATTGGTTTTATGATGTATGTTTAGATTCTTTTTTGGGGTATTCAGCATCGGCGTTCCCCCCCTCTTATATTTTTAAAGTATTTTTCATATAATTATCGTTTTGCAGACTGTAGCGGCCATCGGGCAATATAAACCAAGGAGAAAGGGGGGGCGAGGAGGAGCGTAGAGGCAGATGGAGGAGCGCCAGGAGGAGAGCGCAGGACGGGGGTGCAAGGAGGAGGGGCGAGAGGGGAGGGGAGGGGGGTCAGAGGCCCACCGCGCCTCCTCGACGCTCAGGAGATGGCCGATCTGCAGAGCCACCTTCGCATCATGGTTGACAGGCTGGACCCCGAGCTCCGCGTGCAGATTTGCAACGGCCCGGAGAAGTGCGAGGCCATCATGGGGGAGCTGACTATTGGCACTGTGTGTTCTGGGACCGACGTAGGTCGTTCTGGGGACTTTCATATGCACCGCCCCTCCTTTGCACTCCGGCTTGTCTTCCTTCTCTCGGCCCCAGGGGGAGGCAGAGGGGGGGGGTGGGGGGGGTTCTACTTACAATGGCGCTCTACGGAATCCAGGTCAATACGAAACGGTTTCGGCCTTGTCTGCGTCCTCGTCCTTTTCTACTACATTCTCCTCCTCGTCCTCGTTATCCGCATTCTAGGCGTCCTCCTCCTCCCTCTGCATGTCCTCGTCCTTGTCGTCGCCTTCCCCCTCCTTCTCGCCCCCTCCCTCTCCTCCTCCTTGTCCTCCTCCTCCTTCTCTGCCTCCCCCCGCTCCTCCACTTCGCCCTTGTCCAATTCCTTCCTCGGCTATGTGGGCCCCGCCCCCCCCCCCCTTCTTCTCGGCGCAATCTTCCCTTGCGCGGGGTCCACAGCGCAAGCGCCTACTGCGCGGGGTCCACGCCGCGCGGGGGACCACCATGATTTGATGCGTTACGAGGCGGAGGAGGAGGAGGAGGAGCAGGAAGAGTATGATGACGAGGATGAGGAGGTTTGAACGGGGTCATCAAATTTTGCAACGGCGTCATGTTTGTTGCTTCCCATGCTTGAATCTGGAGGATGCATCGAGCGGGAGTACTCGGAAAGCCTCAGGCCACAGGCATACTCGGGAGGCTGCACGAAAACCACAGGAAGCTCCAGGAGTCACCAGGAGGCACCAAGAGGCACCAGAGGCCGCAGGAGGGCTTAGGGCGACCATGAAACTGTAAGAAGCTCCAGGAATTCTCCAGAAGGCCCACGGAGGTCCCAGGAGCATCCCTGGGCCCCAAGAGGTCCTGGGAGGCCCCAGAACGCTCCAGATGGGATCTCACATTAGGCCTCGGGTCACCCGCGCGGATAGCGGGACCGCCCCCCACAGGCGTCTCGGGGTTGGCCTGGAGCTTTCCTGGGGGGGGGGGGGGACGTCGGGGAGGGCTTGCTTCTCAGAAGGTTCAGGAGGCCTCGAGCATGCAGCATGCAGCATGCCGCTCTAAGAAGGCTTCCCAGAAGGCTCACTTCCCTCTTAGGCCCTTGCTTTCTCTGCCGATCTCGGTCAGTAGCCAGTTGTCTCAAAGTCGACAGCGCCAGGCTGCGCATGCTTGGGCCTGTGCATGCTGCATGTAGCATGCACAGCATGCATGTAACATGCACTCGATGAGGATACCCGAAGAATCCATCCGAACCCTCACTGCCCTTGTAAGGGCCTCGACAGGCGCAGATTGGCAGGGTCGGCAATCTTCCAACGTTCAGGGCCATAGGATCTTTCATTAGGCCTTGGGCCACCAGCGCGGATAGCGGGGCCGTCTCCCACGGGCATCTCGGGGCTGGCCCGGAGCCTTCCTGGGGAGGGCGTCGGAGAGGGCGGGCTTCTCAGAAGGTTCAGAAGGCCTCGGGCATTCCGATCTCAGAGGGCTTCTCAGAAGGCTGACGTTCCCCTTAGGTTCCCAGCCGATCTCGGTCCGTAGCCAGTTGTATCAAATTCGACAGCGCCAGTCTTTCATTCTTCCGTGCGCCCAATGAGGATACCCGAAGAGTTTATGCGAACCATCACTACCCTTGTGAGGACCCTGGTTGGCGATGATTGGGAGGTTCGGCAATCCTCCAACGTTCGGGGGCTTCTCTGCGCCGGCCTTCGGCCCATCCCGAGCTCGGGGGATAAGGGGGGGCGGGGGCAGACGAGGCGAGAGGAGGGGGGGGTGATGAGGATAAAAAGGGAGGGCGAGAAGGAAAGGGGGGATTCCATATAATGTAATATATAATGACAAACAGAGTCACTAGAGAGGGGAGGGGGAAAGCGAGGGCAGATAGAAGATAGAGGAGGAACATGGAGAATCTTATCCTCCAGGGCCGCTCACGCGGCGGCGGTGTTTTTTTTACAATTCCGCTGGGGGAGCTTGCAGATTCACGGCCCCTGGCCCGGACAGTTCGACTACGGAGAGCAGGTTTTGGCCATTTGGCGGGGGTGGCGAGAATGGCGGCGGAGGCGGCGGCGGCGGCGGCCAGGCCAGCGTGCCTAAGGGCGGAGGTTGCGCTGCCGCGGCGGCGAGCTCGGGCGGCGAGTCTCGCAGCGATTCTCGCAGCGACGGCTGCTGCAGCATTCGCATGAGTCACAGCACTTGCGAGGCCGTAGTCCCAGAAAGGCTCGACGCCAGCCACTACGTTCCCGACCAGGGCCATGTGATGGGCGCCGGCGCGGTGAGGGGCAAGGGCAGCGGCGTGGCCGACAACAGCGGCATTGGCAACGACAGCATGATGATGCGCGACCTAGGCCAGACGATCGGCGCCGGCGTGGTGACGGGCAAGGGCAGCGGCATGGCCAACAACAGCGGCAGTGACAACGAGAGCATGATGATGTGCGACCAAGGCCAGACGATCGGCGCCGGCGCGGTGACGGGCAAGGCGGGCATGGCCAACATCGGCGGCAGTGGCAACGACAGCATGATGATGTGCGGCAACGGCAGCCCGATGATGCACAACGCCATGGGGTTGGCCATGGCGATGGGCAGCGGCGATTGGGTGCTCATTCCGCGGATGATGCCTGGCGGCGACCAGGTCGTCGGTGGCTGCGGCGGCATTGGCATTGGCGGCAAGGCCTTCGGCTGGCCCAAGATTGGGAACGGTGGCATCCCCAGGGATGGGCGGGAGCCTACCACGCTTCCCCTCGCGTTCCAGTCTCCCAAGCCTTCTGCTGCACCTCCGCCAGTCCACCTCCTCGGGCCATGTTTGGGCAAAGCATCTTCGGCCAAGGCCTTGCCGATGTTGCCGCCAGCATCTCATTCTTTCGTGGCTACCCCAGCAGCGTCGCCAGCTACCCCTTCCGTGGCCCCCGCGACGTCGATGCAGCCTCCGACGCGTGCTGTGCCCAAAGCGGCGGTACTTCCGGCGGAGTATCTTCCATGTTAGTTGGCCCAGCGGAGAGATGTGGAGTGGTGCATAGCGGCGGTCATTTTCCCTTTGCCTTTTTTCATGAGGCTCTGTGACAGGCACGAAGCCCCTAAGAGGCTACGACCCACGGGCCCCAGGACCCCAATCTTAGGGCCATCTTGGGCTGGCTATATGTGTTGCATCTTGGGGCCATTCCGGAGCTTCCTTGGCCTTCAGATCGGTCTGACTCTTTATCTTATTCTTGATTTTTCAGACTGGTATAAAATCAGAGACGTCCAAAAGTCAAGAGCAAGAGCCGCTTTGCACCTCCGAGCTTCCCCCAGGGGGCCATCTTGGGCCAGCTGGGGCTGGTTTGGGGCCATCTTGGGGCCATTTGGGGCCACCTTGGTCTCCAAATCGGCTCTTGCTGTTGATTTTCAAACCGATCTAAAATCAGGGGTGTTCCAAAGTCAAGAGCTCGGTGGCGCGGGGGGGGGGCAGGGTAGATAGGTAGATACAGTCGGAGTTGTCTAGTAGGTCGACCATGCCATATCAAGGGTGACCTTGCGTCCTTCCCGTCGAACGTCCTCTGCAGTTCTGGGGTCAGGGTGCCATCGGAATAGTCTTGCGTCCTCTCGGGTGTCATGCCCAATCGA